TCTGGTAAAGAATATCATAGTCGCGTACCTTTTGGTGGAGCAATTAGTGGATTTGTCTACCGTGATGCGAAACCTGGATAATATTATCGCAGTCACTCATCTTTTGAAAAGGTGGGAAATTGGGAAACAAATAGTGAACTTATCTACAGTGATGCGAAACCTAGATAATATTATCATAGCCACTCACCTTTTGAAAAGGTGGGAAACTGGGAAGCAAATAGTGAATTTATTTACCGTGATGCGAAACCTAGATAATATTATCATAGCCACTCACCTTTTGAAAAGGTGGGAAACTGGGAAGCAAATAGTGAATTTATTTACCGTGATGCGAAACCTAGATAATATTATCATATTCACTCACTTTTCGAAAAGGTGGGAAACTGGGAAGCAAATAGTGAGTTTATTTACCGTGGAGTGAAACCGGGATATTATCATAGTCACTCACTTTTCGAAAAGGTGGGAAACTGGGAACCAAATAGTGAATTTATTTACCGTGATGCGAAACCTAGATAATATTATCATAGCCACTCACCTTTCGAAAAGGTGGGAAACTGGGAAGCAAATAGTGAATTTATTTACCGTGATGCGAAACCTAGATAATATTATCATAGCCACTCACCTTTTGAAAAGGTGGGAAACTGGGAAGCAAATAGTGAATTTATTTACCGTGGAGTGAAACCGGGATAATATTATCATAGTCACTCACCGTTGGAAAAGGGGTGAAACTGGCAAGGAAATAGTGAATTTATTTACCGTGGAGTGAAACCTGGTAAAGAATATCATAGTCGCGTACCTTTTGGTGGAGCAATTAGTGGATTTGTCTACCGTGATGCGAAGCCTGGATAATATTATCATATTCACTCATCTTTCGAAAATGTGGGAAATTGGGAAGCAAATAGTGAATTTATTTTCCGTGGAGTGAAACCGGGATATTATCACAGTCACTCATCTTTTGAAAAGGTGGGAAATTGGGAAACAAATAGTGAACTTATCTACAGTGATGCGAAACCTAGATAATATTATCATAGTCACTCACTTTTCGAAAAGGTGGGAAACTGGGAAGCAAATAGTGAATTTATCTACCGTGATGCGAAACCTAGATAATATTATCATAGCCACTCACCTTTTGAAAAGGTGGGAAACTGGGAAGCAAATAGTGAATTTATTTACCGTGGAGTGAAACCGGGATAATATTATCATAGTCACTCACCGTTGGAAAAGGGGTGAAACTGGCAAGGAAATAGTGAATTTATTTACCGTTGAGTGAAACCTGGTAAAGAATATCATAGTCGCGTACCTTTTTGTGGAGCAATTGGTGAATTTATCTACCGTGATGTGAAACCTGGATAATTTTATCATAATCACTTACCTTTTTTTTGAAGGTGAGAAAACTGAAAATGCCATATATTTGTCAAAAGTTGCCCGATTTTGTTGAAATTTGTATTTTTAGTTATGGTTTGACCTCTAGAATAAATCTGCATTTAAATCTGAAACTGTCATCTGGACCCCCTAACTAATGTTAAAACTTTATCTATTTTTTGAGGGAAAAAAGACGCAAATGGCCATAACTTTGTCAAAAGTGGCCCGATTTTGTCGAAGTTTGTATTTTTAGTTATGGTATGACTGAGATGTGGCCGCCGACTTAGAAAACAGAATGTGCGAGCAAAACAAAAAAAAAAGATCGTCAGTGTGAAAAAGAGTATCGAAAGGGGGCCGGGGACTGACAAAATCGGGCCGCCGACTTCCAAAATGATATAAAAACCAAAAAAAAAATGTCGTCGAAGACCATTTGGTACCTTAAGTGAGCCGGCAGCCAACTAAAATGAGTTTAGGCAAACAATGCTGTTGTTTTTTGAAGGTGAAAAAACTGAAAATTCGAAATTTGTATTTTTAGTTTTGGTTTCACCTCATTAAACCTGCCCATTAAACCTAAAAATATCAAATATCAAAGAAATATAGCAAAACCTGTGAAAGAAAGAATTTATTTACCGTGGAGGGAAACCTAGTAAAGAATATCATAGTCGCGTACCTTTTGGTGGATCAATAAGTGGATTTATCTACCGTGATGCGAAACCTAGATAATATTATCATAGTCACTCACCTTTCGAAAAGGTGGGAAACTGGGAAGCAAATAGTGAATTTATTTACCGTGGAGTGAAACCGGGATAATATTATCATAGTCACTCACCGTTGGAAAAGGGGTGAAACTGGCAAGGAAATAGTGAATTTATTTACCGTTGAGTGAAACCTGGTAAAGAATATCATAGTCGCGTACCTTTTTGTGGAGCAATTGGTGAATTTATCTACCGTGATGTGAAACCTGGATAATTTTATCATAATCACTTACCTTTTTTTTGAAGGTGAGAAAACTGAAAATGCCATATATTTGTCAAAAGTTGCCCGATTTTGTTGAAATTTGTATTTTTAGTTATGGTTTGACCTCTAGAATAAATCTGCATTTAAATCTGAAACTGTCATCTGGACCCCCTAACTAATGTTAAAACTTTATCTATTTTTTGAGGGAAAAAAGACGTAAATGGCCATAACTTTGTCAAAAGTGGCCCGATTTTGTCGAAGTTTGTATTTTTAGTTATGGTATGACTGAGATGTGGCCGCCGACTTAGAAAACAGAATGTGCGAGCAAAACAAAAAAAAAGATCGTCAGTGTGAAAAAGAGTATCGAAAGGGGGCCGGGGACTGACAAAATCGGGCCGCCGACTTCCAAAATGATATAAAAACCAAAAAAAAAATGTCGTCGAAGACCATTTGGTACCTTAAGTGAGCCGGCAGCCAACTAAAATGAGTTTAGGCAAACAATGCTGTTGTTTTTTGAAGGTGAAAAAACTGAAAATTCGAAATTTGTATTTTTAGTTTTGGTTTCACCTCATTAAACCTGCCCATTAAACCTAAAAATATCAAATATCAAAGAAATATAGCAAAACCTGTGAAAGAAAGAATTTATTTACCGTGGAGGGAAACCTAGTAAAGAATATCATAGTCGCGTACCTTTTGGTGGATCAATAAGTGGATTTATCTACCGTGATGCGAAACCTAGATAATATTATCATAGTCACTCACCTTTCGAAAAGGTGGGAAACTGGGAAGCAAATAGTGAATTTATTTACCGTGGAGTGAAACCGGGATAATATTATCATAGTCACTCACCGTTGGAAAAGGGGTGAAACTGGCAAGGAAATAGTGAATTTATTTACCGTTGAGTGAAACCTGGTAAAGAATATCATAGTCGCGTACCTTTTTGTGGAGCAATTGGTGAATTTATCTACCGTGATGTGAAACCTGGATAATTTTATCATAATCACTTACCTTTTTTTTGAAGGTGAGAAAACTGAAAATGCCATATATTTGTCAAAAGTTGCCCGATTTTGTTGAAATTTGTATTTTTAGTTATGGTTTGACCTCTAGAATAAATCTGCATTTAAATCTGAAACTGTCATCTGGACCCCCTAACTAATGTTAAAACTTTATCTATTTTTTGAGGGAAAAAAGACGCAAATGGCCATAACTTTGTCAAAAGTGGCCCGATTTTGTCGAAGTTTGTATTTTTAGTTATGGTATGACTGAGATGTGGCCGCCGACTTAGAAAACAGAATGTGCGAGCAAAACAAAAAAAAAAAAGATCGTCAGTGTGAAGAAGAGTATCGAAAGGGGGCCGGGGACTGACAAAATCGGGCCGCCTACTTCCAAAATGATATAAAAACCAAAAAAAAAATGTCGTCGAAGACCATTTGGTACCTTAAGTGAGCCGGCAGCCAACTACAATGAGTGTAGGCAAACAATGCTATTGTTTTTTGAAGGTGCAAAAACTGAAGATTCGAAATTTGTATTTTTAGTTATGGTTTGACCTCATTAAACCTGCCCATTAAACCTGAAAATATCAAATATCAAACAAATATATGCAAAACCTGTGAAAGAAAAAATTGATTTACCGTGGAGGGAACCCTAGTAAAGAATATCATAGTCGCGTACCTTTTGGTGGAGCAATTAGTGAATTTATTTACCGTGATGCGAAACCTAGATAATATTATCATAGTCACTCACCTTTCGAACAGGTGGGAAACTGGAAAGCAAATAGTGAATTTATTTACCATTTATTTACTGTGATGCGAAACCTAGATAATATTATCATAGTCACTCACTTTTCGAAAAGGTGGGAAACTGGGAAGCAAATGAATTTATTTACCGTGGAGTGAAACCGGGATTTTATCATAGTCACTCATCTTTTGAAAAGGGGTGAAACTGGGAAGCAAATAGTGAATTTATTTACCGTGGAGTGAAATCTGGTAAAGAATATCATAGTCGCGTACCTTTTGGTGGAGCAATAAGTGGATTTATCTACCGTGATGCGAAACCTAGATAATATTATCATAGTCACTCACCTTTCTAAAAGGTGGGAAACTGGGAACCAAATAGTGAATTTATTTACCGTGATGCGAAACCTAGATAATATTATCATAGTCACTCACCTTTCGAAAAGGTCGGAAACTGGGAAGCAAATAGTGAATTTATTTACCGTGATGCGAAACCTAGATAATATTATCATAGTCACTCACTTTTCGAAAAGGTGGGAAACTGGGAAGCAAATGAATTTATTTACCGTGGAGTGAAACCGGGATTTTATCATAGTCACTCATCTTTTGAAAAGGGGTGAAACTGGGAAGCAATTTTTTTTTTGTTATTGAACTTTTCATTTGTTGTTTTTTTTTTATTTTTTGATTTGATTTGATTCGATGGTTTTCAACTGGTCCTTTTTTCATTTGATTTTGGATTTAATGCTTTTGATGCTTTGCTTATTTGACAAACCTAACCTATTTGACAAATAGGTTAAAATACAATTTTTGTGAAAAGCGAAAAAAAAAAACAATATTTGCAATAGCGTGTACCACTGTACCAGTGTTTGATACCGGCTGCGCACAGCAAACAGGTGTTTGCAGACCAGTCTGGCAACGCTGTTGCAGCTGGCCGGTGTTTACAATAATGTTTTCATAAGAATGAGACATTTTTTCAATTCGGATGGATAAAAACTACAACTAAAACACCCTATCATCTATTGCAGATTCCATCGGACGACCGGGATAGCGTCGGAGCAGGACACCAAAGAAGATAGCCCTCGATGGCGCGCCAGACTCCGTACAGAGGCGCATCACATGTCAGCCATACATGTAGAGGTGAGTGCGTGATGCATATGATGGAAAGGAACAAAAGGCTAATAATAAGCATTTTGTTTCATACCTTTTTAGCGGGTGCACGCAGGCGCGCATAATGCAACGCAGAGGCAGAGCTCACAGGTCGTCTTCATAGCGGCAGTGTGACCTGTGAAATATAAGAACAAAGGATTATGTGTTCCAGTCAGGTAGCCGTGCCAGAGCCTTGGGATGAACGCCTTGGATAGTTTTGCCGTGTTGTACTGTTTGGCAGTCAGGGTTGAGCCGTGAAGCATGGCTTGTCTGTATACAGAATAATAACGTGTTCATTTATTTTATTTCAGCAGAAGGTAGCGCAGAGGCCATAACAAGTGACAGGGCAGACATCCCTATCAGCTTCTTCACGCGTGCGCTATGCTGACGTCGAGCAATAGAAAGCCAGAACCACTAGAATTTGTTTAAGTAGTTGGTACTGCCAAAGCTCAATAAAGTTGAAGTTGCAAAAGATCTGCTGCTTTGCAAATACAGGCCTTTGCCAGAGTTGAGTACGATGTCAAGTTTGTTTATCAGTTGTATCAGCAGCAGCAGCTACAAAAAGATGAATTACCGTCTCATCAATTGAACCAAAAAAGCGGGCATTATGGCAAAGCTGCTCAACAAATCGAAAACCCTGCTGAGACGCTTGCTGAGGTTCCGCGAAAATCTGCGTTCTGACCAACATTATCACAGTATTAATACTATAATCCCTCTCTGCTTCAGACGCTATAAAACTACACCAGTTTGCGTTTCTTTCATACGCTCAAGTATGATATCGATACAGCAATTACACGGCTGATGTGGATACTTATTGTCTACATTATCAAAATTTAATACAAAGATAGCGATCCTGACCGTTCACATACATCGCATCCGATACTACTGATAAACAAACTTGACATCGTACTCAACTCTGGCCAAGGCCTGTATTTGCAATCATAACGCAACAGATCTTTCGCAATTTCAACTTCATTGAGCTTTCGCAGTACCAACTACATTAATAAAATCTACATGTGGTTCTGGCTTTCTACCGCTCGACGTCAGCACAGCGCACGCCAGAAGAAGTTGATAGAGATGTCTGCCCTGTCACTTGTAATGGCCTCTGCGCTACCTCCGTCTGCTGAAATAAAATAAATGAACACGTCATGATGCTGTACACAGAAAAGCCACACTGCACGGCTCACCCCTGACTGCCAAACAGTACAACACGGCAAAACTATCCAAGGCGTTCATCCCAAGGCTCTGGCACGGCTACCTGACTGGAACACATAATCCTTTGTTCTTATATTTCACAGGTCACACTGCCGCTATGAAGACGACCTGTGAGCTCTGCCTCTGCGTTGCATTATGCGCGCCTGGGTGCACCCGCTAAAAAGGTATGAAACAAAATGCTTATTATTAGCCTTTTGTTCCTTTCCATCATATGGATCACACATGTATGGCTGACATGTGATGCGCCTCTGTACGGAGTCTGGCGCGCCATCGAGGGCTATCTTCTTTGGTGTCCTGCTCCGACGCTATCCCGGTCGTCCGATGGAATCTGCAATAGATGATAGGGTGTTTTATTTGTAGTTTTTATCCATCTAAATTGAAAAAAATGTCTCATTGTTATGAAAAAATTATTGTCAACACCGACCAGCTGCAACAGCGTTGCCAGACTGGTCTGCAAACAGTTGTTTGTTGTGCTCAGCCGGTGTTAAACACTGTTACAGTGGTACACGCTATTGCAAATATTGTTTTTTTTTCGCTTTTTTACAAAAATTGTATTTTAACCTATTTGTCAAATAAGCAAGTATATACAAATAAAGCAAGGCAAGTAAGGCAACTTCCAGTTTCTTGCTGGCCCCTAATATGCGAGCACTGCGAGCATCGAATCAAAAAACAAGGGCAGTCATGTTGCAAGTTACAAGGGCTGCCCTTCATATAAGTCAGCTCGGAGTAAGCTCTTAATTGCACGGGCTAATGCAGACAGTATGCAAGCTAAACCTCCGCAGCAGCAGGCGTCACTCTGTAACTTTGCAACAGCAGCATCAACACCAACGCAGCCAGCAGTTGACGCTGCCGGTGAAGCGACACCCAAGCCCATTAATGGACAAACATCTGAACATAGTACAGGAGAAGCAGCCACCCTCAACACAAAGACTACAGATGTCATACAGCCAGGTGGTACAGGGGAATAATACTACAACACGTACACACAACACGGCGGGGAGGCATCTGGAGAAGTTCCAGGAGAGGCTTCGAGTCGAGCAGAAGGAGAAACAGCTCCGCAGCCCTCAGCCGTAGATACAGGAGGAACAAAATACACCTTTGCCCTGGACCCCTGAGGCCACATCCATACTGGAAATTATTCAGCAACGCACAATTTTAGTCACAGATCTAGGCCGGAAGATGGACACTTTTTAACAATGATGATGTCACTTATGGAAACACTCACCAAAAGTCACGCCTTACCATTCAATACAATTTGTATTGGTTATAGTGCAATATTCCTGACTTAGCAATATGACCACTTCTCCTCTTTTCTTTTACGGAGTGACTTTCCTTTTTAGCACTACTGAATGCAATTTTGTCGCTGGTGTTATTGTAGCCTTTCTTGCTGCGATTTATTTACTGCTTCCTGATGTCGATGTTTTTGGCTTGGTTGCTCAAGTTGTTTGATCTCATGTTGGAGCTTCTGTTGCAAGCGTTGAGTACAGGTTACATACTCCAGGAGTGTCTTGTTTTTGCCGCAGTGGTCAATTAGAATTTAGGTGTAGGTCATTTTACTGGTGACGCTGCTGATTGTTTTAGTGGTGGCGGGGCAATTCTTGACGTTGTTTTGCCAATATTATTGCAACCCAGTACTTCTAGTACTGTAATATAGCACTAAGCAGACAATAGAAAAAAGAATTGTAGTAGATTTGAAATAGATTGAATTAGATTTCCTTTCCATAAGTTTAACTTTGGATCAGCATTCTGATTGTTTTGCGACTATTTTACTGTTTATTAACGCATATTTGAAGAAATAATGCGAAAGAATATACTTTCATAATTGTTAAGGCGAAATTGGCATTTGAAGATTGTAAAGGTCAAGTTCTTAAGGCTGACGAAATCACTTCTGCTTGGCTTCAGTCAAAAATGTCTTTTATTCCGAAAGCTGGCAAGCCATCACATACCAGAGCAAAGGACTTTAAACCGATCAGTCTATCCTCCTTCATGTTAAAAACTCACAAGTCCACACCCAAATAGTTGTATAGACCCAAACCGTATCTCTGTGTCCCAACATGCCTACAGGAAAAGAAAGGAAAGCAGATCTACTGATACTGCCCTCCATTCTGGACATCGAAACTGGAGCCCTGCTGAACCTGAAAGTTTACGTCGGTTTAGTGTGACTGATCAATCAATTGCTCACTTGCAGGATTGTGAAGTATGCCATTGGCCTGCCTGAAGGACTGAGTGTGCCAAGTCGAAAGACACCGAGGCAATGTGCGATAATTGTCAGGGTAAGCATGTTGCCACCTACAAAGAATGATGTGTCACATCAACAGCAGCAGTTGGCGCTGCCGATGAAGCGTCACCCAAGCCCTTCGAAGGAGCAGCAGCCCAACAAGATGCAAAAGTGGCAGCCAACTCCAACACAGAATGTATAAAAAAAAAGACATACAGACAGGTGGTGCAGGCAAAGAACACTACGGACACTATACGTACCAGCAACACAGCGGAAAGGCATCTGGAGAAGTTCCAGGAGAGGCTTCGCGTTGAGCAGAAGGAGAAACAGCTCCGCAGCCCTCAGCCGATGATACAGGAAGAAAATCAGAAGACACCTTTGCCCTGTACCGCTGAGGCCACAACTATGCTTGATATAGTACAACAACACACTGTATTGGTTACGGAGCTTGGCAGGAAGATGGACGCCTTCCTGTCAGTCATGATGACATTCATGGAAACACTTACAAGAAGTCACGCCTTACAAATGTCAACAATTTATTGAGTACAGCCAGTCCAAGATGTCCAAATTAACACGTGAAGTTCGCTCAGTCTGAAGAACACAGTCAAGAAGCAAACATATACCAGAAGTCACGCTACGCTGCCGTCACCACGCAGTCAAGTCCATTTAAGATGTCCAAGAAGCCCGTGCAATATGCCAAGATTCTACAAGAAACACACCAGACACACAATTCTGAATAATTTTTCAGAATTGTTTTTACACATTTTTTTTAAACTGTCAACACTATTTTCGAAAGTTGTTTTGATCGTAGTAATGTGAAAATAAACAAGGGCTAGCTGGCGATTGTTTTATGTAATCGTCAGTTACTCCCTATGTTTATTCGTGAATAGAACAGTAAAAAAGAACGAACAAGAAGTCCAGTCAGTCCGAGTTATACTGTCAAGTTTTTCCAAGAAGTCCAGTCAATCCCTAAAGTCCAGTCCGTCCTTGATGTCCAAGAAGTCAGTGGAAGTTACCTAAGAAGAAACACCAGACACACAATTCTGAATTTTTGTCAGAATTGTTTTTACATATTTTGTTAAACTGTCAACACTATTTTCAAATATTGCTAAGATCAAAAGTAATGGAAAAATATATAAAGGTAGCTGACGATTGTTTTTAATAATCGTCAGTTGACTCCAATGTTCCATTGTGAACACAACTGAAAAGAAAATACCTGAAAAACAAATATATTTGAGCACTTACCTAGGGACGGTGGGGAGGGGCAAACGGTCGTTCAGTAGTAACCGCCAAAATAGAAAATAACATTACTTACCATTTTATATATTTTCAGCGCAATCGCTTATGTTAGAAAGTGGAAGTTTTCTACTGCCGAAGAAAGAATGCAATGCGATAAGAACCAGGAAAATGCCTTTTAAATCTTTACAGCTCTTTTCAATCTATGCCTATAGTAAACGATGACTAAATATATTATTTGATTCTTATTAGTGTTAAGGTAAATACATCAATAAATTGCAAGCTAAAAAATTAAACATAATCGAAAGAAAATAATTTCACAATATCTTATCCTTATAAACTTATTTCGCTGTTAATGCTTTTCACTTTTCTGCTTTGCTTTGCTTAACTTGTGTAATATTTCACCGATGGTAACTGGCAGTTGTGCTGCTATTTACTATTGGGGCCTTGTGTCCTTGCAATTTCCCTCTAGCTCGACTTTTGTATCAGCCACGGAGCAAATGGAGCCGTGCAAATTGCGTATTATCGGCAGCAGCCGACGTCTCGCATGCCGCTGGACAAGTGGTAATTTCCGCTGCTCCTTGGCCATTATGGGCTCACTTTGTCGGCGCTAATTAAGCTCTGCGCTGCTCTTGATTTAAACTCAATTAACACACTGCAGTAGCATTTGCATATCATTAGCTGTGACTGATATAGTTGCTCGTATAGTTTAGCAGGTGCAAATACTTAAAGACTTCAGGTAAAAGCTAAAAAGATTGAAACTAA